TTACTTTCTTAATGTAATTGTTTAATCTAAACCATAATCTAATTCGTTAGTCAAACTGCGGGACAAGTGACAATTACAAGTGATTTGATGTCATTGGACTTCTTCCAAGTTTAGTAAATCTCTATGTCACCACTTCTTAAGAAGCAATATACTCAAAATAACATAAATAAAAGTTCAGTTTTTTTACATCAAAGTTTGGGATCGAATCGATTCTCTAATTCGTTTGCTTGATTTGATGCTAAATTGTATTCAAAGTATTTTTGGGGTGAATTAATCAAAAGTTGAATAGCATGGTTAACTTGTTTTTCAAGTGAACACGACATTCTTTCCAATTGCATCGCATTTTTAGTTTATATTCGAGTTAGATTAGGCTTAACCATGCAAAGAAAGTATTGTGATTTCATATATATATATGTGTGTGTGTGTGTGTGTCACGCGCGCGCTATTTTTTAAATTTTTCCATCAACTCGACTCAATAAAAATTAAATCAAAATACTCTTTTCCATGGCCCCATCTACCATTTTTTTTTTTTTTTTTTTTTTTACTCACGCGTATTCCCATTTATATGACTAGCTGTTTGCCTCTTTATAAATTTATAATAAACAAAATTATAGTTGGAAAGTTGTGCTATTTTTCAGCATAATTTTGAGTGGAATCCTTTTTTAATATTTGAAGTGTTGGGCTATGATGCCAATCTAGTCCAGCTAGTGGGAAGATGATGAAGTCTTGGGCTCGGCCCAAATTTGCTGTTTTGATATAGGAAAGAGTTCACAAACCAGGCTTTCCTCATGTCTGATTTAAAATTCAAGTTACAATTTTCAATAATGCAAAAATCAAGTTTTAACTGCTTAATTAAAAATATTTATTAAATAATGATAATAAAGTCACAGTTATATGATTAATGATCGCAGATTCACAAATACATGTCACAGATTTATTTACTGGTTACATATTATCAAATTAATTGGTCACATATTTTTTCGAGGTCACAAATCAAACAGATTATTTCAAGGTCATAGATCAAAAAATTATAGGTCACAAATAGCTACAAATCCAAAAAATGATAGGTCACATGTCACATATTTTCAAATTTGATGATTACAGATTACTTTTTTAATCACAAAATGATTGAATTTCAAGGTCACAGATTAATAGTCAGTCACAAGAAGACCAAATACTTGATCACAATTACTATTCCCGACCACAACCAACGCCAACACCACTCCAAACCACCGATGTTCGAATAGTTGGTCATAGATCAAATATGGAGTCACGTTACCACCACGACCACCACCCCATCATCGTCGTCGTCACCAATACCAACACCAACACCAACAACAATCACCACCACCAGATCCAATTAATTGCCAACAAAAACCACGACAATCAATCCTATTAGCTCTCCAGCCACCAACAACCACCTCCACCACCACCAGAAAACCGCCACGATCGCCACCACTAAACACAACGTCACCAACATAACCAATGCCTCTACCACCAGAAACCACCACGTCACGAGGACCAGAACCACCACCAAACACAGCCAATAATAAATCACCTCCCAACCTCATCCAAATCACCACAGCCAACACAACCACCGCCGTCCTACCTAGATCCACCGCACCACCATCACCACATTGTCATTGCACATCACACATAAAATCTCTTCTTATTATCAGCCTCGATAATGATGGCGTTGGAAATAACAGAAAGTACATAGAGAGAGAAATCGCCGGCCCAAATGTGTGAATCACCGGGGATCTCTCACGGTGATATCCCACTGTGAAATCACCGACCCAAATGATGGTGACTAACGGTCGGAGAGAGAAGACAACATTCGTGACACCATTGGGAAAGGCGCAGTGCCGTTGGTGACGGATGCGATTCATGAAAAAAAGGGGAGAAAATTAATGGCATCGAAGAGGGATGACAGAAGGCGCAACGCCGTCGGAGAAGGTGCAGCAACGCGTCATCATCGACGCATCTCATTAGTTATCGTTGCGGGAGCACGGCTCGTCGGCATCCACGAGAGAGGAGAGAACGAGAGGTGTGGAGCGAAGAGGAAGAGGCAAATGTTTTGATGGGTTGAAATGTTAGGGTTTGAAATTGATTTGGGGATTTAATTAGGGATGGATTAATTATATAAATATAACCTGATTTTTGATTAGTTAAACTTTGTACCTGATTTTTTAAAAGTGATATTTAAACACCTGCTATGGTGTAATTTTCCCTTTGATATATTGCCTGGCAACTCAGACTGGAAGCCTAAAACCCGGATTTAATGGTGTCAGTGAAGCTCGGCCCGACGCTACTAGCCACGAGCTTGAACCCCTTAATTTTTATTTTTGGGTTTTTTGTTCTTTATTTATTTTTAAAAAAATGAAAATTTCTCCTCCTTTTCTCCTCGCTTGGGATCAACTACTCATTTTCATGTTATCATTATGTATATTATTATATAAAAATTACTCCTTAATTATTATCTGTACATTTCTGTATATATTGATGTTTAACCCAAAGTCTGTATTATAGAGAGAGAAAAATGGATATCAGTGCCACCACTTTCGTCACCTCATCGATCATGCTGGTGCTAGCAACAGTATCAGCAGCACCACCAGATATCACGGTGAACCTTTCTGGTTTCAACCAAGAAATGGTCAAAAGAAATGAATGCTTTTCTGTTGTGCAATACGGATATATGGATTGCCACCGTATCCTTTCCCTCCTTAATTGGGCCTCTGATTTATCAAATGTATGTTTAGTTGAACAATAAGGATTTTGTTGGAAAATTAGTTGTATATACCTTTTGGGAACAATGAAAATGTAGAAAGTAAGAATATGGGATAATTGCAGCTGAGGCCTCAAACCTTTTAAAAAGTTGCAAAGTTTCCTCTAGCTTTTTATTTGTGGCAATCTTCACCCCAAACCTTTCAAAACATTGCGGATGAAGTCCCAATGGACGAATTTCATCCATATTTCTATTAGTTGACCGAAAAAATGGGTTTTGACCACATATTAATCAATTATAAAGGGACATAATGATGACTTTATAATTTTCACATTAAAAAACAACAACAAAAGAATAAAGAAGAAAACAAAATAAAAAGGAAAATGAAAATCTTCTTCTCCCTCAACGCCCACCCCCACCCCAACCCTAACCCTAACCAAAAATCGGAAATCCACTATTACCAACAACCATCCAATCTCATGGAAGGGACTTCAACAAACCCAAGTTGTGGTCAGTAATTCGACTCGAATAAGGGAAAATTGCTACTTTTCAATTCCCATTTTGACACAACAATGGCAAACGATGAGGTAATTTCACTTATTCTATCACTAATTTCTTCTATTTAATCTCGAATTTTCTGCCCTTTTTTGCTGTGAATTCATGGTGGCTACAGCTAGCCAAAGCTACTGCCATTTTGCTCAAAGTTCTAGCTGCCATTTTGATGATGTTGATGGGGCTTCGAGGTGTGTTGATGGAGAATTTGATGATGTTGGAACGAAAATGGTGGCAAATTTAGATAATGGATGAAAGGCAAGGGAATGGTGGTGGTTTTGGGCGATTGCTGAAGGCAGGGGAATGGTGGTGGCCTTCATCGATGTTTGAAAGCAAGGGATGAGGGGAAAATAGAAATTCAGTCAACTAACAGAAATATGGAAGGAATCTGTCCATTGGAGCTTCATCTGTTACGTTTTGAAAGGTTTGGGGGCGACGATTGCCACAAATGAAAGGTTAAGAGAAAGTCTGCATTTTTTTGAAAGGTTTGGGGACCTCAACTGCAATTATTCCTGAGAATATTCATTGAAATGTAGAGACTCGTGACACCACGATATGCTAAAGTAAAATTGTTTATCATTAATTGCCGCGATATATTTGAGAAATCACTCCCAATATACGAGGATCGGATCATTTGTTCAGCAATTAATAACAAGTGATTTTTAGAACTATTTTTTGCTCCAAGATAAAAAATTAAGTAAACCATTTTTAAATCGATTTTGCATAGAAGTACATAAGATGAGATTATTTCAGTGTCTTTTTTCCAATAAAAAGAAGCGGTATGTATAAGTCACAAATTATAACTTTCAATAATAATAATAATAATAATAATAATAATAATAATTTAATTCAAATAAAATTGTTAGATTTATGAGGTTTTTATGATATCACTAAATCATCTAGTAACTGCTATATTTTATTGACCAGTTTCAAGTGGTTAGTGGGCGACCTGTCCACATTTTACATAATTCCACATATTTTATCATTCAAGCAACTATCCTGATTTAAATATTTATTTTGACTAATAAATATATAAAGCATATCTAACGGATTTTGACAAAATTGTCAACCGTTCGGTGCAATCTCAGTCAATCTGACCTACCAAAGTTGAAATGGATGACAGAAACGAATTATATTTTCTTGGTTTTGAACAAGAAAAAGAGGCTCATATGTGGGTTTCACAAATTAAAATCGAACTACAAAAGAGAAACTAATTATTTAGCCTCCTGTTTGGAACTCATTAAAATTATATTATAATGAGATTCTTCATTTTTCAATAGTGACTTCTGTAATTTAAAAATCACAATTTCTTATTCATTTGTTAGTGCATTTATGTTCCAACACAACCGTTAAAAAACCAGAATGACGAAAACACCCCAACTCCTCAACGTTCCATTTACGAAAACGCCCCTTTCTATTATTAAATGCATTCCCCTTTTCAAGGATAATTTTGAAATTACGTAATGTATTACTGCAATCACTTATTCCAAAGTGAAAAGCTCGCTTTAAATATTCATTTTGACCGACAGTCAAGGACATGGGTCCCATGGCGGCAGGAACAAAAAAATTGAAGGTTTCTCATTATAATGGGAATCAAACAATGCCTAATTTATGTCAAAATGAGTTTCAAAACTTTGTATTCACATAAATCTTACTATTGAAATTGACTCTCACAACAAACAGATAAATTAAATTAAGACAGACCACTTTAAGATCCACGAGCTTAGGATTTGGTGGCATTAGCAGCGGGTCTGTATCTTGCAGCAAACTTGTTGAACAAGGCAAGGGCATTGCTAGTGACTTGTGCAAGATTAAGAACCTTAGCTTTGATCAAGGCCCTGGTCTTGCCCCCGATGGTTCGACCCGAAAACCCGTCAATACATGTAGTTGCATCAGTTTGAGCAGTGCTCATCCATGTCTGAACATTGCTGGCATGCCAAGGAAACTCACTTTGGCCATATTGTGTTATGTTTTGTGTCTCGTTGATACAGTTGGTGAGCTGATCCACGCCATCATTTATTTGATCCAAACAATCTTTTATTGCTTGGTAGTCCTTAGCTTTTGTGTATTTGAATTGTTTAGCCACTTCTGTCACGAAAGCTCTTGTGGACACGGCTCGGGCTAAGCTCACCCTCAATGCAATCTGGGCTAATTGTTGATGACTTTGTGTTGTTGTAAAATTATTAACGTAATTGG